AAAAAAAAAAAAAAGATATTATTTTACCCACAGAATTAAACCCCAACACAAAATCATTTCTTAGAAGTAAAAATCAGAAACAGGTGTAATTAAAATTGCTGGCATGCTGCATGTAACTAGGTTCTTACCTGTCTGGGTGCTTTTCCAGGACCTTCTGTTCAGGCATTAAGTGGCAGAGCTGGTCTTCTGGTGTCCTTTTTTTACAGTAGAGAATGTCTCCTCTTTCTTATTTAATTAGTAAAATATCCACTAAGGAAGAAAGAGGGATGGAAGTGCATTTTGAGTATTGTTGGTTTGTTGTTTTTTTTGTTTTTTTGGGTTTTTTTTTTGCAGTTTTTGGCCAGGGCTGGGTTTGAACCTGCCACCTCCAGCACATGGAGCTGGCGCCCTATTCCTTTGAGCCACAGGCGCCACCCTGGCTGGCTCTTCTTTAAGTAATCATGAAACAGAGTTAAATACGGATAATTTTCTATTTAAAAGCCTTAGAGAAAACATATTTAATTTAAAAATCTAGACTCATCTTTAATTCCAACGTATTTATAAGAATAATATATTAATTGAGAAAAAAGACAAAAGTAATCCAGAAACACCACTGATAGGTAGAAAAGGTTTGGGCTTTTATGATTTTATGTCAGACATCTCTATTGGAGAAGATGACAGATGGAGAGTTATATGGAGGGTCAGGGAACCAATAAATGTCACCTAATGGTTAAATATAATACATATATGATGCTCAAACAATATGAACTGGCAGAGCTGTTTTCCATATAACTTTAGGTAATTAACCATAATTTGTTTCTAAAAAAGAAAATTCATTATGAAATGACACCTTGTAGTATTCTTTCTTTAAAAGGCAAGTCTGAGTAATATATATCCTTTCTATATAAGCACTTAAACTAGGTTTGAGGCAAGGTAAATCTGTGGAAGCATATGTCATTAAGTAGAAGAGTTGATGGAAGTACACATTTTAGTAGGCTAAACTGTAACCTTCTCTATATAGTAATGCCCGAATACCAGGAGGACGTTTACCAAAGCTGGGTAGCCTTATTGCAAGTTTGCTCGTTGGAATAATAATGATAATAATAATAATGGTTTAACATCTTATTTGATTTAGCATGAAGATCTGAAAGGCTTATATATTTTGAATTCTTGGCTTTTACTAAGACAGTCAATCTGTTTACCTACCTTCTCCCCCCAAAATGGGCTTGCTTTTGTTGTTAACTAAACTATCAGCCCAAAGCTGCAAACAAATTAAATTTGAAAATAAATAAATAAGTAGGTTTCCATATTTGGGCAGGTGCAGCAATGAGAAAGAAATGCACAAAAGATAAGATGTTCTGTGGTTTAGGTTAAATTTTATCATCGAAAGATAGGTTGTTTGGCTGGGCTTGGTGGCTTCACTCCTATAATCCTAGCACTCTGGCAGGCAGGGGAGAGGATAACTTGAAATTAGGAGTTCAAGACCAGCCCTAGAAGAGTAACATCTGGTCAGTACTAAAGATGGAAAAAATTAGCTGAGCATAGTGGTAGGCACCCATAGTCCTAGCTACTCAGGAGGCTGAGGCAAGAATATCACTTGAGCCCAAGAGCTGGAGCTATGACACCACTGTACTCTAGGGTGAGTTACAGAGCAAGACTCATTCTCAAAAAAAAAAAAAAAAAAAAAGTTGACAACTATACTTTAAACAGCTTTGTGAACATTTTTGGTATTAAGGAACTATTAGCTGTTACAAAGGTAATCTAAGAAATGTTGACTGGGAAGTGGGAGCCTGAGGTGTTGAGAGAAAACAGGGGAAATATACAGGAAAATCCTGGTGTTAAGCTTGTTAGGGGTAGAAGAGAGACTGACTTTACTAATAGCCACTCAGCTCTCAATTCCAGGGGTTTATCGCCAGTACTACCCCTCTCCCATCTAAAATTACCTCCGTGAGATATCAAAAGAGGAGCCATTCTAGCAAGCAGTCAGCCTTTCTAACTAGAGGTTTCTGCCTACAGTCAGCCTACGTCTAATCTAGAGACTTAGAATAACAGAATATTGATCTATAAAGGGGCCTTAGAAGAGGAAATTTGAAGCCTAGAAAGACTAACTTGCCTACAGTCATATAGTTTGAATTCTCACAACTGCTGACTCCTAGCTTGATGCCCTTTCCACAGGAAAATACTGTTACTCCATCTTGTGCACTTTAAGTGATTTGATGGTAGAAGACACAGATTTGGTAGAGACACCATTAGATTGGTGGGTCAAGGGATTGATTTACAGAGATCTCATTCTTGGATGTGGATAAACTTAAGTAACAATAGGCCAGTTCTATAGCCAAAGGACCTGCAAAGGGGGTATCACAAAGAATGAGAAAACAACATCTTACAGAGAAATCTTCCTGAAGCTTTCCATTAACATTTATACTATACACATATAGCAGTGCTTTTCTAACAAATTTTCAATAAATTCTTGTAATTGAATTTCATATATACAGTATCATGGACACATTCACTGTTTGCCTTATTCATAATTTCACAGGTGTTAATCATTAAGACATTGAATTTTTTTTTCCTATAGCCCATTTAAATCCTAACCTTTTCCAAGATGTCAGCCAAGGTACATAGCTGCATCCACTCAATCTGTCTTTGTGTTTTGAACTTAGTCCCATTCCTAACAACTCCCATTTGTCTCATTTAGTTAGCCACCAATCCACCAAGTTTTTGCTATCATTGGCCTACTGGAATCAGTATCCTTTAAACACTGTTGTTTTAACCTTGTGACAGAAATCGTTTTAACTGCTCCGTAAAGGACTTCCCTAATATTGAGTATTGTAATTGATTTGTTTGCCACTTTTCATGTGAAATTGAATGTTTAACCACACCTCAAAACTGAGTATAGAATTTATTCACAGCTAACTTTTCTCAGTCCTAAACATTTTTTTAGGAAATGCTTTTACTTTCTGTTTGCTGTAAACATCTATGTTCTGTTAAAATAAATCTTTTAATTTATGGAAAAAATGGTTGTAAGAAACAATATTTACTTGATTGTAACTTTTTGGTGCAATTTAGATAATCTGATGAGAAAACCAAACTTATGACTTCATCTCTGCTCTCTAAACTTTTGTTACAGAATTAATGGGAAGGCTGTGCGCATGTTCTCAATGGTTAGAGCACCAACCCTGTGCAGCAGGGCTGTGGGTTTGAACCCAGCTGTGGGCTTGCTAAACAAACAAAAAAGAACTAATGGGAAGTTGTTGGGATCAGGAAATGACAGTTAGCTTTATCTTTGGAGTTGTAACAGTATTTTGTTTGATTTAAATGTCTATGAAGTGGGAATTTGTTTTGTCAAAAACTTCTAAGTGTTTCTTTGTAATTAGTTTTTGTGGTATTGATTCTATAGGAATGAAAATTTCACTTAAACCTGTGACACAAAGAACTTAGTTGAGTAAAATACAAAATTTATGTAGTTGGAAAACAGATGTGACATGCTTTTTCTTTTTTTTTTTTCTTTCAAAATGTTAAGGGAGTACAAGTGTTTTTGTTACATGGATACCTCGTATAGTGCTTAAGTCAGGGCTTTTGGTAAGCTGGTTACCAGAATAGTGTTTCTGGTACCCCGGTAGGTGAGTTTTACTCCTTACTTCGT